GGGAATCGAACCATGACCTCCTGTTTCATAGGTTGACACTCAACCACTGAGCCACACTGGCTGGATTATGCTTTTATTGAAAAGTATCTAATATGAAGAATTCACTGGATAGGGTTAAAAGATATTGGAAATAGCAGAAACAAGGGTGGTGAACTTGAAGGATCAACAGATATTATCTAATCTGAAGACTAGAGAAGTAAAGATTAAAATAATAAACAGCTTCAGCAACTTATGGGATAATCATAAATTTCCCCAAATTTGGTGAAAAACTTACAGATCAACTTATAGGTCCTAGAAATTCAGCAAACATTAAGCTGAATAAATACAGAGAACTGGATCCAGTAATACCATAATCAAACTGCTGAAAACCAATGGTAAAGAGAAAATCTTCAAAGAATCCAGGGGAAAAAAGACACATTACATAGAGGAGAGATCACATAAGAATTACTGCTGACCTTCAAGGAAGGCCAGAGGCAATGAATGGCATCTTTAAAGAGCTGAGTGGAAAATAACTGTCAACCAAGACTTTTACATCCAGTTAAACTAGTCTTCAAACACAAAAGTGAAACAAGGAAATGACCCATTTGGAGAGCTGGCTCTTTAGGGGGGAAAAAGTCCTAGAAATGGTAAAACTGAGTAAAATATAAAAACTACGTATTTAATTTTTTTCTCATTTCACTAAAAGACAACAGATTATTTAAAGTAAATGGATGATTATATTGTGGGTTTTATTTTATATACTGAGGGGTCCCTCAGCCCGGCCTGTGCCCTCTCACAGTCTGGGACCCCTCGGGGGATGACCATCTGCTGGCTGAGGCCTGCTCCCCAGGGGATTGGGCCTAAGCTGGCAATCAGACATTCCTCTGGCAGCCCGGCAGCCCTCGGGGGATGTTCGCTTGCCAGCGGGGAGCAGACCTAAGCTGCAGTCGGACATCCTTAGCGCTGCTGAGGAGGCAGGAGAGGCTCCAACCACCACCGCTGTACTGGCAGCCATCAGCCTGGCTTGTGGCTGAGCAGAGCTCCCCCTGTGGGCGTGCACTGACCACCAGGGGGCAGCTCCTGCATTGAGCATATGCCTCCTGGTGGTCAGTGTGTGTCATAGTGACCAGTCATTCCCAGTCTTTCTGCTGTAGGGTCAGTTTGCATATCACCCTTTTACTATATAGGATAGAGGCCTGGTGCACGGGTGAAGGCCGGCTGGTTTGCCCTGAAGGGTGTCCCGGATCAGGGTGGGGGTCCCACTTGGGTTCCTGGCCAGCCTGGATGAGGGGCTGATGGCTGTTTTCAGGCTGCCTGCACCCCCTTCAGGGTGAGGGTCCCCACTGGGGTGCCTGGCCAGCCTGGATGAGGGGCTGAGGGGCTGAGGGCTGTTTTCAGGCTGCCCGCACCCCCTTCAGGGTGGGGGTCCCATGGGGGTGCCTGGCCAGCCTGGATGAGGGGCTGAGGGCTGTTTTCAGGCTTCCCAAACCCCCTTTAGGGTGGGGGTCCCCACTGGGGTGCCTGGATGAGGGGCTGATCACTGTTTTCAGGCTGCCCGCACCCCCTTCAGGATGGGGGTCCCCACTGGGGTGCCTGGCCAGCCTGGATGAGGGGCTGAGGGCTGTTTTCAGGCTGCCCGCACCTTTCAGTGTGGCGGTCCCCATTGGGGTGCCTGGCCAGCCTGGACGAGGGGCTGAGGGCTGTTTTCAGACTGCCCGTACCCCCTTCAGGGTGGGGGTCCCACTGGGGTGCCTGGCCAGCCTGGATGAGGGGCTGAGGGCTGTTTTCAGGCGGGCCAAGCCTGCAACTGAAGCTCCCAGTCTCTCCTTTTTTTCTTTCTTTTTTTTTTTATTCTGGGATTTATTTACCTTCTGTAATTGAAACTTTGTTGCAGTTCCAGCCCCAATGCCGGCTGTCTGAAAGCAGGTATCTGGGGTTTGTTTAGCTTCTATAATTGAAACATAGTTGCATTTCGGAGCTGTTGCTTTCAGGCTCAGAGCTGGGCGCAGCAGGCGGGGAACCTTGGCTTCCTCCATTGCCGGTGCAACCAAGCCTCATGTTCGCTTCAGCTGCGTGGCTGCCGGCCGTCATCTTGGTTGGCAGTTAATTTGCATATCACCCTGATTAGCCAATGGGAAGTGTAGCAGAGGTATGGTTAATTACCATGTTTGTCTATTATTAGATAGGACTAGAGGCCCGGTACATGAAAATTCATGCACTGACTATCAGGGGGCAGATGCTCAATGCAGGAGCTGCCGTCATAGCGACCGGTCGTTTCATTGTTAGGGGACAATTTGCATATTACTCTTTTATTATACAGGAGGATATATTTCCTATATAATAAAACCCTAACATGCAAATCGACCGAATGGCAGAACCACCAGTCACTCTGACGTGCACTCACCACCAGGGGGCAGACAATGCAGGAGCTGCCCCTAGCCTGCAGGCCTCTACTGGCAGAGGGCGGGGCCGGGGAACGGGTGGTTCCAGGCCAGCTAAGGCAGGTGCCAGCGGCCACCCCCCCATCACCCCGCTGGTTGCCCTGCAGATTGGCCCTGATCGCCAGCCGGTCCTAGGGACCCTATCTGTGCATGAATTTTGTGCACCGGGCCTTTAGAGTGTGTGTGTGTGTGTGTGTGTGTGTGTGTGTGTGTGTGTGTGTGTATATCTCCTATATAATAAAACCCCAATATGCTAAGTATCCAGTCAACTGGTCGGCCATTCAACCAATCAAAGTGTAATATGCTAATGATGTGCTAATGTGCTCGCTATGATGTGCACTGACCACCAGGGGGCAGACACTCCAACCGGTAGGTTAGCTTGTTGCTGGGGTCCAGCCTATAGGGGCTGAGCAATGCGGGCCAGGCACGCCCTGGAGCCCTCCTGTGATCCCTCCCTGGCTGGCCAACCTCCCGTGTACTTCCCCGCCCCGATTGTGCACCTGTGAGGTCCCTCCGCCTGGCCTGCGCCTTGTCACAATCCAGGACCCCTGGGGGATGTCAGAAAGCCGGTTTTGGCCCAATCCCACAGGCCAGGCGGAGGGACCCCACTGGTGCACGAATTCGTGCACTGGGCCTCTAATATATATATATATATATTTTTTTTTCACAGATCAAAATAGCACAAAGGAGGGAGATAAAATAACTACACTGTTGCAAGTTTCTTATGTTTTGGGTGAAGTCACACAATGCTAACTCTAAGTAGTCCATGATAAATATGCATATTATAAACATTAGATCGAAAAGGATGAAAGAATACTAAAAAATATCCAGTTAAGAAGGCCGGAGAGACAGGAATGAAAAACAGGGCAAATAGAAAACAGGGGTACTAGCAACAATGTGAAGCTCAAAACTCGAGTTAAAGCGAAAAAGTCAAGCACTAAAAAATACATGTTGCATTGATTTTCAGCCAAAAAAAGTTCAAGATCAGGCAAAACTATGGTGATAGAAGTCAGAGCAGTACTTGTGTGTGAGGGATGGGGTTCACCTAGGAGGAGACAGAACTTTCTGGAGTGGTGGAAAGTTATACTTCCCTTGAGGCTGTGGATGAACCTCATTGGCTCGGAGGCTGTGGAAAGGTCCTTGAAAGGGAGAATACCTTTATAAGAGTCATATCAATGTACGCTTAAAATTTGTGCATTTCTCTGTAAATTTTACATCCAGGTTTTAAAAGCCTCAAATCCAAACTCTCTTGCGGGGCCTGCGACTGTAAACGTTGATCAACAGAGGGCGCTCCGAGCTCACCAAACACGTTTTAGGGACTCAGCCACTTGGGAATGCAAATCAGGCAAGCTGTGTGCCTCAGTCTCCACGGTAGCTCTCCCCGGGCCCCCCACCTTCCCCATCCCGGGCAGTCCATGTCGCCGGGCCATACGCTGCTTTTCGGCTGATAAGCAGCGGGTAGCTAATGGCGATGCTGTTTCCCGCCCCATCTCCCCGGAGAGCAGATGCCGCTGGGATCTGGCGTGGGCTGCCTGGAGGTGTACCCGCCCCCCACCCCTCGACCCCAGGGTCTTCTCTTGATAGGATCGCTTTTAATTTGCAAGTAGGAGCGTAAAGGAAACTTGCGCCCTGTTCTCGACATCTTCATTTTGACCTCCATTCCTCGCTTTGGTGACTGTAATATCCCCACGCAAGGGTTGTGGTGGGCGGGAGGGTGGGTGGATGGCAGCGTGGATGGCAACGCGAGGGAGGCAGGCTGTGTGTGTGTGTATGGCGGGGGGCGTTGCCCGGGGTTCCAGCACCCCAGAAAGCTGTCTTCCCGCCCCTCCCCATCACAGAAGGAAGCTAGTGACAGAAAGGCACCAAACGTCCTCTGCGCCCTCGCCTACCCCCAGGCCGGGTCTCTCCGGGCGCCGAGATGCCAGCACACCTCACGTGACCCCACCCCGGGCCGGTCCTTGCAGAGGCGTCTCGCGGGGTGTTAATTAAAGGTCACAGCAAAACAGACCCGCCGGCTCACCAGGAGAAATGTACTCCCGGGAAATGAAAAATGACTCCCCGGAGCAGCCACGTGTGGAGCCCGGCGAGGCGGGCTTCCTGCGCTCCCGGGCGCTGCGCCTCGGGTGGGTGGGGGGTCCGAGAGGGGGCGATGACTGACGCGCCCGGGACTCCGTGGGTCCCGAGGAAGGCGTGGAAGGACGGGTGCTGAGGGCACCGGCCCGGCAAGGCGAGGCCAAGTCCAGTTCGCACACACCCCTCTCCAGGCCCGCGCCGTCGCGCCGTGCGTGTGCAGCGCGGCGAATCCCTCAGTTTCCCCTGCCCGGGCTGCCTTCTCATCCCGGGCTCCCCTGTCCCAGCGCTGGGCGACTGGGCACCTCGCAGATAGGGGCGGGGCGGGTGGGGACCCCGGTCCTCGGGCTGGGGGTTGTCCTGGGGAGGGGGCCCGTGGCCGGCCGCGGGTCGGGAGGGCCATTCCAGAAAAGGTTTGCAGGGAAGGTCTGGGAGAACAAAGGGCGGGGGGAGGACCCGGCGCGTTTGCGGACTTGTCTGTGACTCAATCCCTTCTCCCCGGCGTTTCAAAGGCAGAACTGCACGCCTCGCCAGGAAGAGAAAGAACCTGGGGGAGGGGGAGGCGCGGGCGCAGCTCGGTCCAGCCCCGCGGGCTCGGCGCGGCCCCTCGGCCCCGGCGCGCGCGGCGGCGTTTCATTAGAGCCCTGGACGCAGGCCCCTCGCCGGGAAGTTCCCCGCCGGGAGCGAGATTTACGGTCCCCTCCCCCCGCCGGCTCGCGGCCTCTCGGTGTCAGGCAGGAGCGCCGCAACCTAAAATGGAGCCGGGCCGGCGCGGCGGCGGCAGCCAGGCGGCGGGCTCCCGGGCGGCGGGGCCGCGGGTCCCCACGCTCCGCGCTGCGCCCGGGCGCACACGCGCGCTCTGACCGCGGACGGCGCCCGGCCCGCCGAGCCGCCCCTTTCCCTGCCCTCGCGCGGCTGTCAGGCGGCGCGGGCCGGCGGATATTGGCTCGCACACGCCGAGGCTCCTCCCCGAGCTGGATCTTTATATTTTGGGAGAATTTCTTTGAACTCAGTTACCGAGCTGCGGGGAGGAGACGAGCGCCCACAGCCGGCTCGCTGGCGGGGGCCCGGCGGGGGCTCGCGCACCTTCTCCGCGGCGGCCACGTGCCCCGATTGTGAGCCTCCTCTCCCGCGTGGAGGAGCACGCACTTCCTCGGCTGCGGGAAAAGCCGGTGATCTGGCTGTGACCGTGGAAAGGGAGCGTGTGGCTGGAGGAGCAGAAGAGGATGCGGGGAAGCAGTATTTGAAGAAAGGATAAGCCGCCCACTCCAGCCCCTTCTGCAAATTGGTGCTCTTACTTCGGGGGCCCGTGTGCCTTTCTGCCCCCTCCCCCCAATTAAGGAGCCTTGACTTGAGGACCAAAGGACAGCCCCCCGCCACCGGAGACCCTTCTGGGCTGCAGACCTTGTGGATGTAGCGCTGGGGGACCATTAGACTCTCTTCTGGAAAAGCCACCATGAATTCGGTCGCTGGGAATAAAGAGAGGCTCGCCGTTTCCACCAGGGGCAAGAAATACGGGGTAAGTTGTGACGGGTACGAGGCGGAGGCGCGTTCCCAGACCCAGGGCGGCCGGGGTCCCCCTTCCCGGGAGCCGCGCGGCGCGGCAGGGCGGCTCCGAGCTCTCCGCCGGCTCCGAGGCGCCGCCGCCGGGCGTGCGTGCGCAGAGGCGGGTGTCGCGGGGACCCGCACACTCGCCCGGCGCTGGGAATTTTCAGCCCTCGCCGGCCTCCCCTTCCCCGCACCCCTAACTTTCCAGCATTCCTGCACTGAAAGGGAGAGCGGCGCCGAGCGGGAGGGGTTTCCATGGATTCCCTGCGGTTCCTTGGGATCATTTCCCGGTGCCTTCGGGACCCAGAGGCTGCACCCCGAATGAATGAATGAAGTCGCAGCCCCCTCCCCCTCCCGCCCACCCCGGGATAGCGGCTCCCAGGATCCCGAGCCAGGGCTCTGGCTGGGTGGGTGTCGGGTTCAAAAGCGCGGGGCTCTGAGTCTCCGGGTCCCCCTGCAGAAACCACGGGACCCCCCGAGCGAGCCATGTGCCCCGCCGGCGCCCGGGAACGGCGCTGGGAGCCCCGGGGCGTTGGGGACTCACTTAGGGAGCATTGAACGCGGCCGATCTGGCCGCGGGGCTCGGTCGGGCCCTCGGCGGCGCGCAGTCCCGGGCGGGCGCCCTGACCCCGGCGTGTCTCCCCGCAGGTGAATGAAGTCTGCTCGCCCACCAAGCCCGCGGCGCCCTTCTCCCCCGAGAGCTGGTACCGCAAAGCCTACGAGGAGTCGCGCGCGGGCAGCCGGCCCACCCCCGAGGGCGCGGGCTCGGCGCTCGGCTCGTCGGGGACCCCGTCCCCCGGCTCGGGCACCTCGTCCCCCAGCTCCTTCACCGGCTCCCCGGGCCCCGCCTCCCCGGGCATCGGCACCAGCTCGCCGGGCTCCCTGGGCGGCTCGCCGGGCTTCGGCACCGGCTCCCCCGGCTCGGGCAGCGGCGGCGGCTCCTCCCCCGGCTCGGACCGCGGCGTCTGGTGCGAGAACTGCAACGCCCGCCTGGTGGAGCTGAAGAGGCAGGCGCTGCAGCTGCTGCTCCCCGGGCCCTTCCCCGGCAAGGTGAGCCCCGCAGCCCCGGCGGCTGCCCCTCCCGCGGCCGCTGCGCGCCTGGCCTCGCGCCCCGGGGGCGCTGCACGCGTGGGGCGGATTCGGGCCGGCGTCGGGGACCCCGCCCGTCTCTTGCGCGCGGACACGGTGGGACGCAGAGCGCGCGGGCTTTCCACGTTTGGGGCCTCACCGCCCACGGGGGTGTGGGGGGGTTCAGGTGACTTGTCCTGCTGTCCCCCACTCCGGAGAGCCCCTTTGTGATCCCCGCACCTGCCCGCCATCCTGCTGGACCCCTCTCCCCGCGCGCCCGCAAACCTTTGCTGGGGTGTGGAGGGGGGGCTGGCCGGGGACGCGCCGAGACCCGCTCCGGGGAGTCCTGCCTTCGGCCCCGCGGGCATGCCCTCCCGCCGTGGGCATTCTCTCCCCACCCACCCGCGATCCTTTCCAGAAACGCGCGGGTGGGGAAGTAAAAGCGAGCGGGCTTGGTGCTTCTCCTTGCCTGTCTGTGGTCCTCCCTTCCTGCCCGGATCACAAAAGCCAGCATCTCCCCCAACGTCCACTCTGTCCGGGGAGACGCAGGGTGGGAGCCCCGGGGAGCACCGCTACCCCCTGGTCGCTCCAGCACCGAGCGCACGGGGCTCCCCATGGCAGGGCTCCCCATGGCAACCCTGCGGGCCCCGGCGCGGAGCACAATGCGGTTGTATTTGCGCGGTTGGGCCCAAGTGCTATCAAATGATAATATTGACTCTTGCGCTTCAAAGAGTTCTTATCGGTGGTTAAAATAGCAAGAACACAGGGGATGGCTGTGCGGGTCTGATAGGGTTTGTTCAATGGCGTTTCTAATTTATGTTTCGGTGACTTGAAACGCTGTGGTTACGAGTCGTGGACTTCAGGGATTAGGGCCTCTGTTTGCCTCCCCTGCTTGTCCAAACACACGCGCATTGGTGGTGTCATGTGCGAGGGTTACATGAAGCAAACACCACGCCCACAGACGCTGTAAAACTCTAAACGGGGAGGATCCCCACCCTGAGAATTGGTTTTGTGAATCCCGAATCTACCGCCGGAATAATTAACTCGTGGATTGCTGCCAGCGTGCCATTTTGGCAGTTTGGTGATACAACCCCAAGAATACATCTCGGGGAGTCTAAGACTTCTTTCCCTCCTTCGTTTTCACACGGTTTCTTCACTCGCAGGTTTATTTAAGCTCTTTGGGGCGTCTGTCAATGTTCTCTGATTTCCTGTGGCATTCAAGGCACCGTGTTAAGCACAGCAATGAAGTCACACGTGCCCACAGTCCTTGTCCACGTGGGGCTTATATCCTCACGGAGGACACAGACCTTAACCACAAAATGCACAATTCGTGATTTATGCTTCTACCAAGACGAGTGTGGGGTGCTATGAGAGCGCATAACCAGACCAGACCATGTGATAAATTTGGGAGAACCTTGGCTGTTAAATAGAGAACATCTGGTATTTGGAAGTCCTAATAAGTTGTGGTCTTCCAGATCACTCTAGAACATTCTTGAGGGCGCATTTTTTAAATCTTTATTGTTGAAAATATTACTTAGGTCCTCCTTCCCTCCCCCCACATTAACTTATTCCAGCTTGCTCCCGTCTCCCCCACCCCTGGCCCTCACCACCTCGTTGTGTGTGCCCATGGGTTAGGCATACAAGTTCATCGATTGATCTCTCCCCTCCCAGCCTCCCCTGCCTTCCCTCTGAGCCTGTTCCTGCTTCTGTAGGACTCATTCCTCTAATAGCTTCATGTTTGAGTGCTCTTGTATGCAAAGGGAAATCAAAATATACCCTTCTCACACGGATGGAGGAAGGGAAGGAAATCGATAGGAATAAGAAACACATGTTGGACGTAGATCCATCCATCTTGCCTTGTGGGGTCACGTGACAAAGGAGAGCTCTGGTTTTGTGGAAGCAGCCCGGAGATTCCTTCACAGGGTCGCAGCGGGCAGCTCCGTATATTTGCCCGTTTTAGTTACGGGATGAAATAAAAGAGATGCTGGGAGACGGATCGTATTGTCACAGTGATGGGTCTGCTACACCTCAGTGCCCTACGCCCACGGGGACAGTCACACGGGGTCCCGGTAGGTGCACATGGGAATATCACACAGTGCCTGGAGCTTCATATGTGACATAGCATGATGGAGCATGACCGTGGTACAGGGAGTGCCCACGACTCCATGAGAGCCAGTGGTGATTTGGATCACCTTGTTGTTAGAAACAATAATGTCCACTAAAAGGATCCTGCATGTCTCCGGGAATAATAACTTCAGTGTTAGCGTTCCTTTCTAAAGCATCGGTACCCCCGGATGAGGTACAGTTTTCATCACACCGCGGAAGTTTGCAACGTTTTAATCAAATAAGCGCTGTGCTCTCTCTCCGTGTTCCCTCGAGCACCACGGGCGGAGACCCATGTAACTCGGAGACAAGACCTCCCTCCTCCCCGGGCAGACTTTATGAGCGAACTGGGGACCCTCGCAGCCCTCAGGGCGGAGGCGTTAAGTTTCATTAGAACAAGAGTGTCATGTGGCTCCAGCGTGTAGTTTGCCCTCCGGAGGGAGAGTCTGGAAGATAAAGGCGTGTTTTGGAGGGGTGATTAGCCAAATCACCTTTGTAATTCGCTTAAGATGCTTAGCTGTATTGGGGGGAATATTTTCTCATAGATAGGGTATTACTTTCTACGAGGTGGTATTAGCAGCCTCCTGGGCAGGCCGGACCAGCACGTCCAGAACCTCATCATTTTGGGGTGATCTGGGCTTAGGTCTTTCTCCAGCGCTGATTACTGTTGTGACATTGAGTCTGTCGGTTTTTCCCTGTATGTTTCACTTCCCCACCGACACACGAAGGAAGGCAGTGACTCACACTGTTAGAATGTCATGAAAATTACTTGAGATGAGGTTAGAAAGGTGCTCCATTCTTCACAGATGGACGTGAGCGTCGGCCATTATTAGACAAGAGTCTGGTTGGTTTGTTTATGTTTCATGGGATGTAAGATTTTCCTTACAAAACATCTGCTTTCAGTTTCTGCTTTCGTCGGTGCATTTCCCAAATATCACACCGGCATATGATTTCTCGTGAGCGGTGCCCCTGGTAGGTAGAAGCCCTATTGAATTCCCCCAGTTGTGTCTCTGGGACAGTTGGTTAAGAAGGTCAGGTGAGCTCAGGCCGGTGTGGCTAGTGGTTGAACATCGACCCATGAACCAGGAGGTCACAGGTTCGATTCCCTGTCAGGGCACATGCCCCAGGTTGTGGGCTCCATCCCCAGTGTGGGGCGTGCAGGAGGCAGCCAATCAGTGATTCTCTCTCATCATTGATGTTTCTCTTTCCCTCTCCCTTCCTCTCTCTGAAATCAGTAAAAATATATCAAAAAAAGAAGGTGAGATGAAGTGCTGAGCACTCTCTGTAGCCAGGTGACCACTTCAGGGATGGGGGTAATGTTAATTGAGGCAGGAAGCGGAAGGAGACCCAGGTTTGGGTGGAGCTCAGAGCGAAGGACATTGGTATTGGATTTGGTGCTGTGCGTTGCGTTTGAGGCAGATTTAGGAAAACACAGCCTCTGGGATGTAGGACGTGACAGCTGTGAGCTCACGTAACCCTTAAAAATGCCCTGGATTCAGCCTTTCAGATGGCAGCTTACCTGGCCAGGCCCAGACCGGTGCCCAGGGCAGACTGTGAAACACTCGGGTTCGTTTTACCCCCTCGGCCAGTGAGAAGGGACCGCCTGGGGGTAGATCAGTGCTTTCCTAGCTGGGAAGTGGAAGTGGTGAGAAAAACACAAAGGAATGTGATTTGCAAAGTGTTGGGATTTTAAGTGAAACAGCCCTCTTACCCACTGCAGCGTTTCCATGTGTAAATATAAAACCATTTTACATCCACTGGCAAGCGCGCCCTTCCTGTTTTATACACAGTCGAGGCACCGCGCCAGGAACAGGGGCCAAGGCATGAGTCTCCCGTTCTGGGCGAGCCGGGATCATTCCGATACCAGCCGCAGAGCAGCCCTGCGAAACCTCAGCCCGAAGGAATTCCCTGGAGTAAGCAGAAACGGTCCAGCTTGGCGAGAGGTTATCAGACATCTGTTCATTTCCATATCAATAAAAGAAAAAATCTTCTTTTATGTAAAAAAAAGAAAGAAAAAAAAGGACCAGGAAGACATTCCTATCTGATTTGTTCTCAGTCACATACTCCGGGTCCATTTATGCCCCAGAAATACCAGGAAGATTAGCCAGGCACACTGAGAAGGGTGGCCAGGAGTCACCGAGATGAAAGCAAACAATGTGTCACGGGGTTTAAAAACACCAACCGTGGCCTCTAAATAGCCGGGGCCCAAGTGAGTCTAGACTTGGAGATTTCATCTGTACGTTCGCATTTTCCCAGCTCCAAAACGGGGGGTGGGGGGTGGAAAAAGAGCTCCACTTAAAAGGTCCCCTGGAAGCCATTGTAAGACACTCTGTAAGTAGATAAAATACACCGCCTTTTCAATAGTTATTAATTATGAGAAAATTCTATCGGAAACCTAAGAACACATGACTATTTTCGGAAAGCTTCATTCGAATCTTTTCCATCTCAGAAGTAGTCGAGATAAACGACTAGCTTACAGATACTGTCAGTAATGGAGAAGTCCCGTTAGCATTTATCATTCAAAAAAAAAAAAATTTCTGAAACATTTGAGGGATTATAAGAACATTCCTAGTCGAGACATGCGAGCAGAAACCTCCTCTTTAAGGCTTGGTGAGCTATGGATTGATGGCATTGCATTCTACCGGACTTTTAATTGTGAACCAACTAGGTCAATTTTTATAGTGACTTAATTCACTTTGTAAGAATCCCTGGCCTGTAGTAATTCCTCCCACACTCTCTGCAGATAGGATTATTGCATTAGAAATGTGATTTTTAAATGACCGAGGCTAGTCGTTTGTCAGCATTTGGAGGGATTAAGTCAATAAAATTTAGGCAACATTATTGTTGCTCTTTGGCGTGTCCGAGATCGTACTATTCAT